GTGCAGGGCACAGGCAGGGATGGAGGGGTTTGGGGAGAGCCCAGTGCCCTCAGATGCTGGAGCCAGGGACTTGGCACATCCTGGTTAGCTGATGAATGTTAGCAAGTTCCACTTACATGTGTGCAACACCTCTCCAGCACGGGCTTGGGTGAATTACAGATGGGATCCAGGAGACAGAAGAGCATTCAAGCTGATTCTTCTGCTTCAAGATTTCCCCTCCTTTTACAATTATGGGCTCAACAGGCACCTACAACCAAACACTACAGCCTCCTTCAGCTGTGCTCTACACCAGCACATTCAGGTGCCTGCTCATCTCCTGCATTTACCCTAAGCTTTCATTCTGCAATTGCCTTACAACCTTCTGACTTATGAGAGCACTGCTTTTTTATCATATTATTAGAATTATCTAAAGCCCTTGCAATACTGGTAGCTAATACTGCTAATGGAAATTAATTCAAAGCAATTCAGCATACATATTTATTTCTGTCTTGGGTTACAGGCAATCTTGAACCTATGAAAGGCAACTGAATACGAGCATTTAGTGGCAGACATCCTGTAGATTTTATTTGTAGTATTTAATTGACACGAGGTAGCGCAATAGGTCTGGACAACTAGCTCTGCATAGCAGAAATCCACACTATTTTTCCATTCAGAATTCCACCCAGTGTGCAACGGCCAAATTCTCAAACCTCAGGCTCCTGGATACTTTTGTTTTTCCTCTTTGAAATGCCATTAGACTGAATGAATTCCTCCAAAGCACAGCCAAAAATACCCAAATTGTTTCTGGACTAAGATCAGTGCTACTGCAGTGCAGAGCAGACAGGTTCTCTACAGAGAATCCACAGGCTTCAATGGAAAGATCCTCTCTGTAACGCTGCTCCCACATTTCCTGAAACCACCATAAACAAACAGTGATGATATGAGCCTTCTGTTTCGTAATCCTTTCCTAGGGATGGACCCAGATCCAACCCAGGGGACTCGCAGCAGTAGAGGCACAACCATTGTCCAAGCTATGCTCTGGAAAGTGTGTTTACAGAGCAGGTTGTGGAGGCCAGTTCCCGTCAGCAGCAGTGACACAGCTGGGACAGCTAATGAGAAACAGCTTGGGAGATGGCTGGAAGTTAAATTTGGCAACACCATCAGCACTGCTGGGTTTCGTGCAGCAGAGTGTAGCTGTCAGGTCCCAGTTTCTGAGTAAGGCTCCAGCACACTGACGGCCAGACAGGCAGACACCCTTCGGCCTCACTCCCACGAGGCTGAATTCCCTGCTGGCATGAATGCTCTCATCCACTCAGGAAAATACACGGATACAGCAAACACTCTTCCTCCCATAGGCATAGACAAGCAAGCACCTATAACTTTAGGCATTCCGGGCTGTTACATGCATACATTTGCAATTATCCTCTCACGAGGCAAAGTGTTTTTCAAACCTTTCTCTGAGCTTCCATGGAAATCACTTTGGTGTTGATGGTACTTCTTTGATGTCGCTCATCAGCGAGCTAGATTGACCTGCTAGACCTTTCTGTAATGGGAGTCCTTGTGTCCACCCAAGCCCATGACCAAACAAGGACGTGTGGCTTCAGCACTCAGCAAGGTATCAAGGATGGTAACTTATGGCACAGGGACTCGAGACAAGAGTTCCAGCTCTAACGTCGGCTGACCCAGCACAGAGTGTGATCTGATACAGGGCAAGGGAACCAGGGACTCCCACTCCACCCCTTTCCATGCCTGATGGAGGAAACAAACCCCCAGCTGCCTCAAATATGAGTAGTTTTCCTTGACAGGAGTCAGTCACAACCTCGGCTCCCAGGCCCTAACAAATAGTCCAGATTCTCACATAGCAGAGAGCACATTTCCCAAAGTCACAAAACATCAGCTTTCCTGAAGACAACTCTATAACTATGGGGAAAAAAGATCACCCTCAAGGTAGAGGGATAGGAAGCGATTATATAAAAAAAACAAAACAAAACCCCACATTTCAAGGCTTTTTTTTTTATAAACAGATGTAGGCCTGCCACAAGGTCATGTGTAAAGAGGAGAATTTACTGTGCCACTGTGGACAAGACTGGTCCTTTGGAGCACACTTGAGATCAGTACTGGCCTTATGTCCAGCAAACCCCTCCAGGGAAAGTCAGGTTCAAAACTGCAGCAATAAAATACTCCCACTGGCCCACCCATCAAGTACTTCAGGAGAAGGGGCTGGAGTGAACTTCTTGGTGCTGGGCTGAACGACTGAGAAAAATCCAAAGAGCACTCTTCTGGCCCCACACATGCCTTCCACAGAAGGAATTATCCCATATTACTGGAAGCACAGGAAAAATAAAGAGCCAGACCCTGAAGATCTCAAGTCTTCTGTGCCTTTGCAGCAGAGGGGAGGGAGCTCCAGTTCAGAAGTGAGCACTCAGCCCTTTGCCCCATGGGATGTAATCCCTGTCTCGGCAAATACTGCAGCAGTGACAGATCTACAGGTCTATACACACTCAGTCATCTGCCCTCTAGCTCAGCTGATTCAATGGGACTAACAGTGACATCCTGATGCAGAACAAACACACAGAAAACCTTTGCTTTACTAATCCACAGGCATCTCAAACTTACCTGGAGTCAGTCTAGGATGCATTTGGGAGTTTATACTGTAAGCAGGGACTGGGCAGAGAATTCATTTCAGAAGAAGGCTGGAAATTAGCTCTTGCTTTTATCTGTAAGTTGGGCTGTTTAGGTATATGTATAATCAAAATCCCTTACTCCTGTCAATTAACTGATTTTGTTCTCTGTGAATGCTCACAGCAGGCTATTGATACCCTTATCAGGCACAACCCAACACTTAAAGGCTGCCCCTTTTCATGGGCCTGCCAACGGTTTCCTGAGCGATTGCACACAAGGCACACAGAAATAAATGTTTCCAAACAGCTCCTCTGGGCTCAGAGCCCCAGAGAGACTTCAGGTGTGGCCTTACACCACTCCTCCTCCTCTTTTGAGTTCCTTCAGCATCCCAGCACCTCAGTCCTTTGTTTCAAGGACCAGCCACGCTGTTTTCACACGTTCTGCCTCGCTTGGCAGGCATTCATTAAAACCTCAATGTCTAGTTGTTGGTCTTCTGTTGCATCTCCAAGGTAACTCCATTCATATGTTGTCAGTCCCCTGACAGTTCACTTTTACCAGCCCAACAGGCTCTCTGAGTAACATCCATCTTTTACTCTCTTACACAGAAGAAAATACAAGCCTTTCCACCCTGTAGTATAAAGTAGGTGGGCAAACTGAGCCAAACAAAGAAGTTGCTCACAGTCCATGGGAAAGTTTGTTTTTTCGATTCACTTGGGCACTTCCAGTGCTCACAGACAGTATCTATTGGGCATTAAGCATGTTCTCCCAAACCTCTCCACATCTGTTTATCTATTTACACACACACACACACATCCATTTGCTGATCTAGATCTTAAAAACTTCCTAAATTATTTCCAGTTTACTAGTAAACTCCACTGTATGCTGTAACAGGGAGTTTCATGGGAAAAATGACACTTTGCACAAATACCCGTTTCTTTTTCAGTCAGACTCGGGAGTTTTTCATTCCTGCCCATCACTGCCTTCAAGGCAGCTGGGAGTAAACAAACCAAATACTGAAAATTTGGTTGAAGAAGAAAAAAGTGACTTCCATCCTGCCACACAAAGGAAACACCTGGTTGTTAAGAACCTTAAAGATATTCTAATAGTGGCCCGTGCAACTCTGAGGACGAAAGGCAGAGCTGTTTGAAGTCAGTGGAAAGTCTCGTCTAAGCTCAGATTTGAGTGGAAGTCTTGCAATTTCCCTGCACATGGGAGTGTGGTAATAAGAGTCTTTCACTACATTCTTCCATGGTCAAATCATCAAAAGTAATTTTGCAATAGTGCAGAGTCAATATAATTTATAGCAAAAAGGAGTAGCTTGATGTCAGTTTATGTTTCCCCAAATCCTGTTTTCATTGGGCAATTATCGTTTCAGTGGAAAAGGTTCCAAACGTCTTCAGTTTTCTGGAGAAGCGCCAAGCTGTTGTATAATGGCAGGGTAATTTTAAACCTATAATTTAGAAAGGCCATTTCTGTCTGAATCCATTCTTCAAAGAGGCCAGCCCTGGAGAGTTACACTTTATTTTTCAAAGCAAAATACCTGGTTTGTTTTCAAAAAATAAATGCCACAAAAGAGGCACAAAAGCAGGTGCTGCATGAGCCACGTGTGCCGATGCCAGAGACACACAAACAGGAGGTGGCAGGGAGGGGAGAGCAGCAGAGCCATTACTGTTCTGCACTTTGCTCTCCACTCCTTGAAGAATTGCCCTAACCAACAGCAAGAACTACAGATCTAACGAGAGGGGTCATCCTCTGACCAGCCCTGGTCAATTTTAGAATTGCAAAAATTCACGGGTGGAAGGAAATGCTACATTTTCAGTGGTGTATTTGATGGGGTTTAGGCAAGTACAGAGCAGCTAAC